ACGAGCATCAGTGGCTTGACGTTGCCCATGCTGCTGCGTCCCTTAACATTGCCAAGCGTGCGTGCCTTAAGACGCCGCCGGTCCGTAAGCACAGGGCCCGCATGCTGCGGGAGGCGTTCGAATCCAATGCGCACTATACTCTATGATCCGATGGCTCAGTTGAGTGTGGAGCGAAGTCTGGCTGTGCCGTGCTTTCATTTGGGCGCTAGGCACTTGCCCATGCGGTGGGGTGGGTGACGGCTCGCTGGCGCGCGGCCACGGGGCGGAGTGCCTGGCCATGGAAATATGCCTCAACGAGCCCCTGCTGCACCTACCGCCCACATCCGGCAGGTGAGGGGCGGCTGTGTTTACGGACCCGTTGCAACCCCTCAGTGCAATGCAAACGGGCCCGAGCAGAGTGACGGATGGCGTGCTTTGCTGCATGGGGAGCTCAAATGTAAGCGTGATTCGTTGATGTGCGCGCCCGCCTGTTGATTTCATTTTTTTTTTCGGCATACTGGCGTCTCCCACAGCAGAGTTGGCTGAGGAGTTTGCGAAAGAAGTGCTGGGAGCGTCCCGGGATGTGCCGGAGTGGATTCTGGATGTCATCACCTCCGCCGGACGCTGCATAACACCAAGCGAAGGGGCACAAGAGCCCCCTCACGATCCAACCCAGCGCCACCGTCTCTTCGAGATGTCAAGAGACTCCAAAAACGGCCCCATGGTCGCGTGCGGGGGAAACGATGCTGGCGCAACGTTGCTGAGGCACGTCGCGTCACTCCAGTTGGCTGCGGCGTTTACCGGCACAGTCGGTAGCCCCGTGATGTCGCGGTGTCCGTCGGAGCTGCCCCCTCAACAGGGGGCCACCGCTCACGGACCCCCAACCCCCAACAGGGTGTTTCCACGGCGGTCCGAGCGGACCGAACATTGTTGCTCCGGTCCGCTATAAAGTATATAAGCCGGCCGATCGCAGGCTCACGTACAGATGCAAAACCTCAATGGCGTCGGCGGGGCAGTGGCTCTCCAGATGGCGAAATGGGTGCTGGCGACCCCGCGCGTTATCGGCAGCGATGGCGCGCCCGAAACACGGGGCTACGGCGACCTATGGGGAATCATTTTAAGTGCGTATTACAGCGCAGCATGAAGCACGCCGGATCCTGATGCCGCAAGAGGTTTTGGAGGCGCCTGCAGCGCCGCGTCGCAAATCCCCTGCGACGACGGCAACGCCCCAGCGGCTGTTGCGAGAGAGTGTTGTTAGGTGCGCTCGCGCCCTTCTTTATCTAACTTGTGGCAGAAGTTATCGAACGCAGTGCCATTTCAACCACCGCAACTGCCCACAACATCTTTCAGCAGCACGAGATGATCCTGTAACTCTGTAACGCTCTCGCGCCAAGTTCAGTCTGCTCCTGCGCTCCTGCTGCCGGAAGGCGCGCCCACCTGTACAGCTGATCTCCCACACCTATTTGCAAAGTTCACAAGGGCCGTCATCCGCCTCGCATTCAGACCGCGACGCAACCAAAAAAAGATTTCCAATTTCCGCGTTACTGCCCACCCAGAGTGCCTCAAACGGTCTTGCTGCGCAGGGTGTATCGTGCAGGGCGGGCGGTGCGATGCGTGAAACCAGCACATGCTACTGCAGATACCCCTCCGCACCCGGATTAATAAACCACAGGCAGGCGCTTCCGATAGCCAATTCAATAACCAGAACAGAGCGTCGCCACTTTGGTCGACCTACGGCAGAGGAAGCGGCATTTCCGGGCTTCGGAGAGCGCAGCGCGCCGTGCTAGCTCCCGCGGTAAACACAGAGCAAATCGCCGGCGACAACCGCAGCGCACCACAGGACCAATATGCCCTTAAACGAGCAGAAACGCAAATAAAATGGAAGAGCCCCGGCACTAATCAGCGCACAGCAACGCGGCGCACGGTGCCAAATTCCTCCAAGATTGATTATACGCGTCCAACGGCAACGCCTTACAACATGAAGTGGTGATCGCCGCGAAAAGGACGCTGCCGCATCCGCGCCAAAAAATCCCCGGTACGAGATGCGAAGTCTGCGCTATCTAACTAATATAGCTGCCAAGCGAATACTCGACGCCCACGCTTGCTAGTTTCACGGCAAATACATCTCCAGACGCAAAAGCAACGCCGTGGTTTGGAAGAGGCGTGGGTGGGGAGGCGCCGGGTCACATTTTATTTTGCTGTGCGTTCCTTGCGGCCCGGCGAGCGAAATTTGGCTTTGGGGGGATTCGAGGTGCCCGAGCTTCACTTTGGTCAGCCACTGACTCAGTTCTTTTGTAACCCGTTCGGTCTCCGCGGCCACTGATTTGCCCACGGCCGGCAGCGACATAGAAGATGGTGGCGCTGGCCTGCTGAAGGTGGAGCGCCTTTAGTTTGTTGCTTTGATAGTTTGTCCTGTTTTGTTTCGGCTTCTTCCGCGCCCTCGTTTTCGGCACAGCGTGCCTCAAAAAATCCAAATCGCACTTTCTCCGCCTCCCCCACTTTTCTAAGGGGAGGCTACTCCGGCAGGGGGCTCGGATTCGACGTCTAAATTCTCGCACGAAGTCTCAAAAAGGGGCCAACCCAATTCCCTCTGGAGGGTGGTGGGGCGTCAAGCACAGACGCAAAACGTTTACATTAAAAAAAAAGGGAATAACTTTACATGGACTTCGAATAGTTAATTACGTCTCTTTAATGATTTCAC